GCTGGGACGACACACGTCCTCTCTCACGCACGGCTGGGACGACACACGTCTCTTCCCGCTTGCCCTCTCGCACGGTACTGCCCGCCTCGCGCGCGTGCCGCCAGCTGGCCAGGTGCACAGCCTAGCTGTGTGGCTTCGATGCCGGTCGACGGGAACCGGCTAACCGTGACAATGCGTCCCCCCTTAATTAAGCGGGGACGCCAGACACCGCTTCCAACACATAGGAACCGGTTAGCCAGTTCCTGTTCTTATGCGTTCGCTTCTTTCTCGCCCAGTACGTGTCGGCTCAAGAAGTCGGCCCCAACGTTTTCTGCCCCGGGTATCGCCTGTATCCGGAACCTGTACACTCAGCTGCTTGCGGTGATGCAGCAGTGCCTCTACACTCGCGTGAAGCTTCCTCAGCTGGTTGTCTAGATTCTCCAGCTGCTGCTGTTTCTCTTCAAACCACTCATCAGCCTCATCCATCTTGTATGTCACGTAAGAGCCTATCCCATCACCAACTTTTTGTGGCTGAGAAACCTTTATCACGATAAACAGATCTTCACTGTCTTCTTTCTCAATCTGCAATTCAAACATGCACATGAAAATTTTACAAGTACCTTTACATTGGATGTCACTTTTTTTCTATATATAACATTATTTTTGTACTGGGATCATTAAGGCACATTCACACACGACACAAAATTCCATAATTAGGATAGAACATAAAATTAGACACTTAACAATGTGTGAACATGCGGTTAGTGGTGTACACGACTCCAACATACTTAACAGGGTGACAATATTTCTAGTGCGTTAACGAGTTAGCTGCCGCACAATAAATCCCCCACACACCTCATCCTTTGGTGATCGATACTTCATCTTGCCGTTAGTTGATGCAGGCGCTTTGACGGTGGTAGCTTTCTGCTGTACTGGATCCACCGGCTCGGTGCCAATGTTTGCAGCACCAGCCGGCTCTTCTTTACCAGCTTCTTGTGCCGGTGAATCCAAACTAACTTCCTCACCGCCTCCATCCAGCAGGTTTACTGGTTCAACCTCTGCAACAGTCTCCTCCGTCTTCTCATTCACTTCCTGTTTAGTTTCTGGTGACTTGAAGTTGAATTAAAAAACAAGACAATTATGGACACATAGACACAGATATATATATAAAGAGATTGAGGAGTTTTTCACAAGCTGTTAATAACCGAGTAATGCCATAGCATAGCATAGTCAATTAGTCATAGGATACGACATTTACACAGTTTTACAAGTATGCAACAGCATTTTATGTATGCCACAAAATTACCAGCTACTCTCAGCAAGTTTATTAATCAGCTTCAAATTAATACGAATACTAATACTAGGCGGACAACCACCTACTCGACGACATTACCCGGAACCTGTACCCTGCCACTGGCACCCCTATTAAACAAGTTAGAATAAAACAAAGAACTGAGCCATGGTTTGATAGTGAGATTAGGGAACTTATTCTGGAAAGAGATAAGAAGATAGAAATTACTGCTTCATAAGAGGAGTAAAGATGAAATTACATACAAGGATTTTAAATTGCTTAGAAACAAAGTTCAAAATAAAATTAAGAAAGCAAAGGCTAATTACTATATGTAAAAGGTTGAGGACCACAAAAATGACCCAAAAAAATTATGCCAGACAGAGTATGGGGATGAAAAATAAGGAAACCAATAACTTGGGCGGGGTAGGGCTAACAAGTGCTGCGCGGAGCGACAGCGCTGCATTCTAGTCTTACTGGCGATGACTCTGTGGTGGAGGTGGTGGATTCGTAGTAACCCTGTTCCGTCAGCCAAATGTGTTCACATAGCACGCCGAAACAGTGGAAAGGCACTAGGATGGTAAATCAGCGACCTTCTCAAAGATATGTCTCGTTGGAATCTTATAAAAGTTTGCCCCCAACGAAGGAAAAAAATTGAGCGCCGTACGTCTAAGTGTGCTCAAGCATTAAAGATGGAAGCTCCCATCGTACGTAGTAGCCTCACAACTAATTTGCAAGACAGAATAGGTGCACATCATCCTATTTACCTACGCAAGCCTACAGGCTGAAATAGAGAGCTGCCACCTGTAACTAATTAACGCAGGCAAAAACTACACAGTACTATCACCGCCACTGGCAGTTGGCATAGAGTTACATGTAACACACTGACAGTACAAATGCCATAGAAATTATAGATAATCCGATTTCACAGGAAGTCATAAACACATGTCTTCTATCGATTCAACCAAAAATACAAACGCACAATTTAGCTTTGAAATTTTACACATTGTAGTACATTGTAGGCCTCAAACATGCCAGGCAGTACATGTATAGATTCTACTAAGCAAAAACCGGCAGTCAAATTCTCTTCTAACGAGTAAACAAAATCGCATGTTTGTAACCATCGCTCTTGAGGTCAAAAGATTATCCGACACTGTACTCTTTCGCATGTGCAGCAGAAAGTACATTTCATGGTCCTTTTCAATAAAAGTGCCATAAAATATGCTAGGTTAACTGCTGAAACAAAAAAAAGTTTTTCAATCGCTCATCAGACCAATGTCTCAGAAAAATGTCTAAAATCTGCCCTGTGGCCCCATGACCTTTTTGACCCTGTGACCTCCAATTGTCCGGACAGTGAATCTGGCCCCCGCTTTTTTTTTTTTTCCCCCCTAAAACCATGATGCTATACAGCCGACTATCACGAGCCTAGGTCGAGCCGTTTAGATTGTGCCGTAAAAAAAATTCTTTGCATTTCCTCCCCTTATACCTTAAGTTAAGGAAGGAATATTCCCTATCTTTTACAACCTCTTCGACCGTTTGAACTCTTTGAACCCCCAGTTTGGACATTTCCAAAAGCTCGTTTATCGATTACCTCCCCGCCCCCGTCCCGACTTTCCGAATCCGTAACGTCAGCGCATGTTTAGATTTGTTGCCCGAACTGTTGACGGACGGGATTCAAGGAGGGGGCGAGAGGAGGGGGAGACGGAGGGGGAGGCAGGAGAGGAGGGTGGGGAAAGATAAGGGAGGGGAATTGGGGAAAGAGTGGAGGGAGGAAAAAGGCGCGCACGGCACGCACAGGCTATAGCCGATTCTACAAGCTGGCATTTAGCTTCTGACTAGTCTATGTGAATGAGGCTAACAAACAAAACGGTTTTTCAAAAGCTGAACATATAATAGGTGAGATAAAGAAAATATAGCATATAAAAGAGAGTAATACTTATCAAGAATCATGGTATAGAAGCAGTCACATTGAAGAAGGAAAATAAGAATGTAAGGCATATTATAACACCTTTGAACTTAACGTAGATTTGAACATTAGAGGAGGATTAGCATGGCAGAAAAGAGAGACAACTATTATTTACAGCGGAGAGCGATAGAGGCGGACTGGAGCCGGGATAATATATAATATATCAATCAAGAATAACTTAAATGGTCTATAGTTGACAATTCTCGTCGATGACAGGAATGTATAAAAAAAAACAATCAAAGCTAAAGAACAAAACAACACATAGAAGCAAAAATATGCTAGAATAAACAAGCAGGAGAATCAGAATTGAACTAGGTGTAGTTAGTCCCCATAGGGAAGGAGAGAGTGTGTAACTGTTGAATCATGTGTGCCTTTTAGTGACGCCGCGATAGGAGCAGTGAGACAGGTGTTGAGAGTGAGAGCGGTGGAGAGGAGAGAGAGAGTTAATGGAACCAAAGTTTTTTTGGCCGCTGGCCAGCAATGGATTTAAAACCAATATTTTGTAGATGACTGGCTACGGAAAATTAAAAGAAATTGGTTATTAGGTTGCTGCTCTGAGGTTTGATAATGATCGTGTATCAGAAGTTGCTCTAAAGTACGGCATAAAACAATTCAGGGAGAGTCCCTGTATTGTATTTACTATTTAGTAAGTAAATTTACCCAACTCTCGATTAATAGATGTCGAGTGTAGTGTTGAGTAAAATACAATTCGGGAATAAGGGGTTTTGCAGTGTCTGCGCCAGTGGAAGCAAATTGATAAGTGGATAATTTTATTTTGGAGCTTGTTGGCCCGAGAGAGGGTGTCAAGTGGTAGGTTTTTGTTAGGAGGCTGTACCGCCATGTTAATACTGCATATATATGTTAGATAGGGGATAAAGCCAGCAGAAATAATATAAGAGTATAAGCAGATCTGTGGGAAATAGTGTCTAGTTATAGATATAATACCTGTTGATTGCTTGGAAAAAAATTGGTACAGAATATATATAGTAATACGATATGATTCTTCGCCATGTAAGGGACGAATTATCATGAAGATTCCTAGATAATTTTTGAGAGGTGCGATGTAGAAGGAAGATGGTGTTCCAATTTTCATGGCTAAAAGCGTTGTTTGTTGTGTTCTTGTTCTTTGAGTTATGAAATAATATGGACTTAGTTTTCTGATAGTTGACTGATAGGATACCTGACAGCCACGTGTCGAATATTTTTTTTTATTTTCGGTATTTACTAAGTGTTGAAAGGAATCACACGATGTTTTTATTTGTTCATAAATAGGTAGTTCATCCAGCAAAAAAGTCTGGTGTTAAAATGGTAGCATGGGGGAGATCGTAACATAAATAAGAAGAGTAACGTGGACCGTTAGGGTAGATGCCGAAGGGACACCGGAAAACCAAGGAGTCGTCCAGGCCAAGAGCAGTATGAAATTTATGAGGATGTATGAGTGATAACGAGAGTGAAAAAAGGACGAAGAATCTAAGCCAGGACGCTCTGAGTACATGAGGATGGTTCCAGTTTTGTGAGTTAATAGATTAGAAGAATTGTGAGGTACGGAGAGCAACAGAGTGCTAAGATTAAAGGCGTGAGAGGAAATAGGGAGGTACGCAATGTAGAATGATTAGCCAGGTGTGCCTGAGGTCCGAATAGGGTTTTTAAAATATTACATAATCTCGGCCCACAGTATATGACAGAAGGTTTCATGTTAACGTCAGAAGTCCATAGTTTCAATACAAGGGAAGGTGTGATGTCTATTTTTAAACCGAGGGTGGGAAGCAGTGGGAAAAACTCTTTCACTTATACTGCAATTGAAGCTTGGTACTCTCTACCACAGCAAGTTAGGACAAATTCTGTTTATTCTAGTTTTAAGTATAGTGTTAATGATAATGTTGGACCGAGATTGAGGACGTCGGAATCGAACGTGAACTGCAAGCAGTCAAACTTACTTCAAAAGGAAATCCAACGCTATGCATAGTTGTCTGCTATAGACCGCCTACAGCCAATTTGGAAAACCTCCTAAAAATCCAGACATCACTCCAAAAGATAGAAACCGACAATAAATTGGCAGAACTGCTAATTTTTGGTGATTTCAATATGCCAAGTATTGATTGGAAAACGCTGACAATTACAGATGCACCACAATACAGCATGGTACTCAACGAAGCCCTACTTTCCACTGTAAGTGACCTATACCTAACGCAGATGGTTGAAGAACCAACATGTGGAAAAAATATCCTTGACCTTGTTTTCACCTCCTCTCCAGACCTAATCGAGGCAGTTCAAACTGTCCCAGGTATCGGCGACCATCATGCAGTTACAGCTAAATATAAGCACAGAGTTACTCCAGACAAAAAACCTAAACGAACCATATACATGTATGGAAAGGCAGACACCTCCCTACTCGAGACTGAACTCTTAGCATTCAAGGAAAATTTCATGAGAGAGGCAGAAGGGAGGAGCGTCAACACTAACTGGGATATTTTCAAAGCCAATATTGAGACTGCAATCGATAGACACGTACCAAAGAAAATCATAAAGACAAGCAATAACATTCCATACATCACCAGAAAAATAAAAAGCATGATGAAAAAAATGAAACAGAGGTGGAACAAGGCAGAGACTAAACAGGCAGAGGCAAACTAAGACAGACGCTGATAGAGAACTCTATGAAGAGACTCAGTAAGAAATTAAGGAGAACTACAATTACAATACAACAAATATCTAGAGAGTCTATTTGAAAACGATGCAGGGCTCAACACCAACACTCTGGAATTTCATTAAAAATAAGAAAATATATATTATTGGCATACCGGCACTACTTTACAAAAACAGACTTGTGTCTACTACAATAGAGAAGGCAGAGGTCCTAGCAGACCAGTACGAATCAGTTTTCACTACAGAAAATAAAGACAATATCCCTGACATGGGCCCATCACGCCACTCAACAATGGAAGACATCTCCATTACCTTACCTGGCATAACTAAACTACTAAAATCCTTAGATCCTAAGAAAGCAATTGGCCCTGACAATAGATCTACCAACAACACTGATGAAGAACTAAGCAGAGATCATAGGGCCGATGCTGTGTCTTATAGTTATATACAAGCAAAGTATATACACCGGTGACATGCCAGAGGATTGGCTAAACGCAAACATCATAGCTGCCCACAAGAAAAGAAACAAATCTGACCCGGCAAACTACAGACCAATATCCCTTACCTGTGTGTCATGCAATGTCATGGAACACATCATATTCAGGAGTGTGATGGACCACTTTGACCATAACAATATACTTGCAAACTGCCAGCATGGTTTCAGGAAGTCTCACAGCTGTGAGACTCAGCTGCTTTCCACTGTCAACGACCTTAGTTACAGGCTGGATAATCAAGAACAAGTAGACGTAGTGATCTTAGACTTCGCAAAGGCTTTCGACACAGTCCCCCACAATAAACTGCTTCATAAGCTAAACTACTATGGAACAAGAGGAAAGACTTTGATATGGATACGTGAATGGCCGACCAAAAGACACCAAACTGTAGTGTTAGATGGTGAAAAATCAAGAAAAGTACCGGTAAAGTCAGGAGTCCCCCAGGGAACAGTACTCGGCCCCCTCCTGCAGTCCTGTTCCTCGTTTTCATAAACGACATATGTAATGGCATCGACTCAACACTCCGACTGTTTGCAGATGATTGTCTCATCTACAAACCCATCAGAAGCGGATCTGATACAGAGCTTCTTCAAAAGGACATTGATAAGCTAGTTCAATTGTCCAAAAACTGGCAAATGTCTTTCAATCCAAAAAAGGGCCGAGACTACGCACGGCAGCCGTGTGGATAAGATTCAATATGGCTATACGCACGGCAGCCGTGTGGCGGACTCAGTATGGCTATACGCACGGCGGCCGTGTGGATAAGATTCAATATGGCTATACGCACGGCGGCCGTATGGCCGACTCAATATGGCTAGGAATGAGGAAGGGGAGAAGGGAGAAGCTGGTGGAAAAGAAGGAGGGGGAGAAGCTGGTGGAGAAGGAGAAAGGGGAGAAGAGAGGTGGTGGAGAAGGAAGAAGGGAGAAGCTGGTGGAGGAGGAAGGTG